CTGCCTAGGCCATGCAGGTTGGAGGAACAAAGCCTTGGTTTTTCTGCATCTGTGTCTGCACAGGATGCACCAAGTGGAAGAGGAGGAAGTGGTGGTGGAAGAGAGTCTCGTGTCTTCCATCTCTTCTGCCTCCAAAGCCTCCTTGGATGCTGTGGTTAGGTGCTGGGAAGACATCATCATGGATGTACCTGGGTTCTGCAGAGAAATCTCCTGGACAAATGTGACCAGGAATTTGAAAAGAATAAGCTCACTTCCACATCAAATTCTTATGAATACCTTTCTTTGGTGGAAAAGGTATCTTAAAGAACAGCTGCAGGCATGGATTCCCAGGCTCAGCATGGTGACTTTCACGACACTAAGGCACCACCAAGATGAAGTGGCTAAGGACATGGCACATTCGTGGGCTTCCTGGCAGTCACAGAGATATTTCTGGACTACAAAGCAGGAAATAAGGCTGAGGACTGGACTTGTGGGTTAGCGGCGACTTCATTGGGCAAAATCTGTTTGCTGCGCAGTTTCCAGAACTAGTTCCCACCTTCCGACTTGTGGAAGCCTCTGGGCTATGGGTCCAAAAAGTTAGGAGAAGGGAGCACAGGAAAAGACATATTGAGAAGACTGACTCTGTTCCGCACTACTCCATAGAGATAACCCGTGGCAGGGTGTCAGAAAGCTAATCATGTCACCCTGCCTGGACCTCTGTTTTCCTGAGACACATTATGTTTCAGGAACCCCAAGGACCATTGCCAAGGTGGACACCCTTCTCCAGAGCTTCTGTGGGTCAGACTGCTCTGGGGCAAAGCTCCTTCAAGCATCGTGTCTTCAAGTGTCCACCTGGAAGGCCGCTTGTTCCAGTGCAGCCCCCAGTGGAACCAGAGTCACATGCCTTCTCAATCCCAAACAGTGCAGGCGGGCCCTGCCTGAGGCTCCCTGGGGTAAGTTCTGAGCCTTCAAACAGCAAATACCCTGTGCAAGGTCTTGGATTACTTAGGCATGATTATCTGATTAAAACAGCTGCCCTATCTTCATAGTTCTGAAACTCCTATTATTGGGGGGGGGGGGCATTGGGACATAACCATGGCTAAAAGAATAAACCAACAAAGTTAGTTATCTTTTGCCTGAAAGCAGCTAGTGAAAGTGAACTTCTACTCTTGGGGTTACAGTTCTTGCATCATTATTTTCTGCTGGACCTAATGGAGCCCAAGTGTCAGGGAGCCTCTTTTAAAAAGAAAAAGGTTCATTTTTAAAAGAAAAATGTGTTTATAGATAAATGTGCATGCTAACCTGTAGATTTCAGCTTAGAATTTCTCTGATTAAGGATCCACTTGGACTTAAGGATCTAATTATCTTCTATGCTTCCTCTGATTACTATCTCAAAATTTCCTGAGCCCAGACTAAGGCTGAGACCCTGGCTGAGACCAGACTGAGGCTAGAGAGGATAGAATAAGTCGCTGGGAGGGTAGTAAACCTGAGTATGGAAGGCTTCACGAATCTCTCAAACTCATCTTCATTTGAAGACAGAGCTACTGCCCTGCAAGCAGCAGAGGGTGTGGGCTAGGGACTTCCCTATGTGGGATGGGCCTAGGGCTTCACCCGTTATTATGAAACAACCCATATACTAGTAGTTACTACTTCTTTATTTTTCATCCTATTTATTTATTCTTTATTTTTATTCTTCATTCTTCTCCTTCCCTCTCTCAAAAGATCTTTCTTTAGATTTTAAAAGCATATAAAAGCATATAGAAAAGCACATAGAGAAATACATAAGGTTGGAGCTGGAGCAATAGTACAACGGGTAGGCCGACCTGGGTTCGGTTCCCAGCATCCCATAGGGTCCCCTGAGCACCACCAGGGGTAATTCCTGAGTGCAGAGCCAGGAGGAACCCCTGTGCGTCTCTGGGTGTGACCCAAAAAGCAAAAAAGAAAAAGTAAAAAAAAAAAGAAATACATGAGGTTCAATAAAGTCTGTCTATACTTCTATCTGCAAATGACATTCCCATGCAATGAATATAAATGCCTGCACACATTAGTATGATAGAGACTGAAGCGAGGGCTGTATATCAGGTAGAATGTTTGCCTTGCATGCAGATGATTCAGGTTCGATATTTGGCATCCCATATGGTCCGTGGAGCTCACCAAGAGTGATACCTGAGCACAGAGCCAGGAGTAATCCCTGAGCACTGCTGGGTCTGGCCCAAAGAGAGGGGGAGAGAGAGAGAGAGAGAGAGAGAAGAGAAAGAGTCTTTTGGTCTAAGGAGAGATTGGGTTACTCCAGAAGAGTTGGTCTCTTCCAAAGATGCTGGGTGCCATGTGATTTAGAGACTCTGAGGCAATTCCAGGAGCATGTGATGTTGCATATTTATTCTCTAACAGGCTGACAAGAGCAGCAATCCAGAAAAGCCCGCCTTTTCTCAGAGCTGCCAGAACTGTGAGTAGTGTAAAAAGGAAAAGGGTTACTACCTTGATAAATGAGCTCTCAAGCATGGGAATTTCCAGATATCTCATTTCCTATGGTTATCATCCAAAAATCAAGTAAAGGTGTAAAGAAAAAGAAAGACTTGGCAGAATTTTTCATTGATGCACCCAATATAGAAAACAATGGTGGGTGGTTGTCTCCAAAGAGCAATATAGCTGCCATCTGCCTAGCTATCCCTATGCTAAGGATACCCAGAGAACTCAAAAACACTAATTCAAGGGAAAGTATACATTTCCATGTTTCTCACGGCACTATAAATAATAATCAAGAGTAGGAAACATCCTGTGTGTTCATCCACAGATGTGGTATATATGTACATAATAAAATATTGATCAAATATCTGCCATTTGCATTACCATGAATAGGCCTAGAAACTAGTATACTGTAATGTGTTGTTCATAACTTATACATGCTGTTAACTGCAAAACCACAAGACCCCCTGATTTAGCAAACTGACCTTTCCCTACTTCCCTTTATATAACCCCAACATCATTTCTGAATTAGACTATACTATCTGTCTCATGCTCTGAGATGCTCTCTATGAGTGCTCTTTGAACCCCTGATAACCAGGCCAATAGCTTCAGGTGCTTTGCCCATTTGTAGTCTCCAGCCTGGCCAGTTGATGTAAATAAAAACCTTCTTGTTCTCCCACCAAATCTCTGTCTAGATGTGCTTAATTAAGCAAACTTTGGTTATAGCAATACCAAATGAAATATGTTTGAGAAAAACAAATGTCGTATTACATCACCCACATGTAAACAAACTAAACAAAAACTCACAGTCTACAAGAATAAAATAGTGGTTCCCAGGAGGGAAGAGTGGGTGTGAATTCAGGTAACAGAAGTCAGTTGTTTTCTGGAGGATGGAAATGCTACTTTTAATGACAATCATAGTGTAATATTTACACATATGGCTTTATATCTGTGCACCCTATGTAATGTTATAAACAAATATGTCTTGGATTATTACAAATCTGCCTCTAGAAATATAACCAGACTGTCCTTTGAAGAGCAAATTATTTAAGTAAATTATGCCCATCTCGGGCTGATTCCTGGTACTCTTCCCGATCCAGTAGACAAATTTAGTTACTAATTCATCAGTCCAGCTCTGGAAATGATATATGATCTTCAGAATGTTCCCTGAATTTTGCGATGCTCAAAGGCATGCAGGAGGGATTGGCTTGGGTTGGGGAGAGAGGATCAAAGAATCTAAATCTTATCTCCATTTACCTCAAAGTATCCCTGGTTTCCCTCAAGGCTGTCTTCATTGCTGCCCACCTTGGGGTTGGAATTCAGCTTCCTGAGAACAGCAAAGAAAGACCAGGAAAGACCAAGGGGGGGGACATGCATCTCCCTGTAACTTAGCTGCCTCTGGAGTGAGCGTCATTGCAGAGCTCCCCTGATTGTCCCCAGCTGATTTGCATAGCTCCGCCCCCACCCCATAGGCTGTGGCTACCCATTGCTCATGTTCTGCTCTACCATGAGGGTTGAGCCCATAGGGAAGGCCATGGTGGGAAGTATAGCCTAACCCTGAGGACCTACAGGGTAGACCCATTCCTAAGCCACATTCTCAAATCCCCTGTTGTTAATAAGGACAATATTGGTATTCAGTAGGCCCATCCTATTGGGTTTTGTCTGTTTTCGTTTGGGGCCGCATCTGGCTGTGCTCCAGAGTTATCCCTGGTTCTGCACTCGGGAATCACTCCTAGCATGCCCAGTGACCAAAAGGACGCCCGAGGTTGAATCTGAGTCGGCCACATGCAAAGCAAATGCCCTAACTGTACTATTGCACTTCCCTCTCTTTGCTCAGTGTTCAGCAGAGGTTTTTTTTTTTAGTTCACTTAGAACCTGTGCAGAGAAAAGGAGGTGTTGCATATTAACCCTTCAGATCCCAGGCACTGTGTTGGCCGGAAGAGAGTCTGCTCAATTACTTTGAAGGGTAAAGGGTAACCCAAACAAAGGGTCAGGAAGAGTCAGGAGTAATCTGGGTCCTTTATTCCCACCAGTGGACTTCTGAAAGATGCCTTTCCCTCATCTGCTTCCCTCTGCCCCAGGACCTCTGTTTATTCTTCGACTCCTTCAATGAAAGCTGAACACCAGAATGTGAAATACAGTGCAATTTATTGAGGACAGGAAAGTACAACATAATCACCAACAAAGGATGGGGGAGAGGTGGGTAAGGCAGGATCTTACACACGGGGGTGGGGAACACACAACTGGGAGGCAGCTGTCCTGGAGCTCCACCGTCATCCCTACAGCTCTGGCCCCTCACACTCGGTGTCACCCCCAGAAGGAGGGAGTGGGGGCCTCACTCGGAAGCTCCACACTGGTTAATGTGCAGCTGTTCCAAGTCAGGGCCACTGCAGGGGTTCTGCGGAGGGGTCTCTTCCTGGACTTGCAGTAGAGCATCCCTACCTGGGTCTTGGTGGGGGCGGTAGGGAGTGGGGGAGTTGGGAGAGCCTTCAGGCACTTGAGGTTGAGGGGGGCTAGCAGAGAGAGGGGTGCGCTATTTTGCAGGAGGCGGGAGAATATGACCAGGGATTACTTGGAGCTGTGCTGGCTGGAGCTGGGGGTCTGGGAGAAGCGCACGCCACCGCCAGACTTGTAGCCGCCGCTTCCTGAGGTCTGGATGCCTCCGGAGCCGGAGCCCACGCCGCTCTGGCTGGTAGAGCTGCTGCCTCCACTGCCCAGCCTGCTGCCGCTCTGGAACCCGCCACTGCCACTCTGGAACCCGCCGCTGCTGCCGCGGCCCCCGCTGCTGCTGCTGCTGCCACTCTGGAACCCGCTGCTGCTGCTACCCCGGCCTCCACTGCTGCTGCCACCGCTGCCGCTCTGGAACCCGCCGCTGCCGCTCTGGAACCCGCCGCTGCCGCTCTGGAACCCGCCGCTGCTGCCGCGGCCCCCGCTGCTGCTGCTGCTGCTGCCGCTGCCATAGCCGCCACTGCTGCTGCCTCTGCCACCAATGCTGCTGCCACCTCTGAAGCTGCCGCTGCTGCCGCCACTGACCCCTCCGAAGCCTCCCCGGCTTCCGCCAGCACCGCTGCTGCTGCTGCTGGAGACGTTGCTAACCACGGCTGTGGGAGAGAGAACAGGCGCTCAGCGCCCCGCATGCAGGCCTGGGTCTGGGGCCCAGCTCTGCCCGACCTGGCTGGGGGACTTAGAGAAAGATGTGCAACGTCCCTGAGACCTCAAGGGGTGAAGAGTGAAAGAGAACCTGGACGGGCAGCTCTGGCTCAGTGCATAGACACTTCTGGAGCTCCGGTCTGGGCATCCCCCAGAAACTGGGCTACCCCTTTGGAGCCAACGGTTTCCTGGCTAACTCTAGTGTGATATGTGTGGTCATGAGCCAAGTCCGCCAACACTGTTTGGGTGGCCTGCTATAGCACACGGTCAGCCCATGAGGGTGTCTTATGCTGCCTTTTCTACCCCCGGGCTTTTGAAGGGCTACTTACAAATGCACACAGCACTCTGACACTCTCCGGACATCCTAAAGAGAGAAAGAGATGTGCATTAATTCTACACTGAGACATTAGACTTGGTGGTCTGTGACCTTGGGAACCTCCTTCTCCCCACTTGCCCTCCAAGGGATCAAACTCCCGAGGAAGAGAGTCTATTGCAAAGTCTCTTCCTGGTGTGACCAGGTCACCCAGGAATGCTGGCTACTTCAAGGAGTGGAAAATTCCAGAAACTCCACCAATGCATGCTTTCTCCATCTTGCATCTTTAGTTCCCAATATTTTATCTTCCAAGCAAACTACCCTCTAGTCTTGTGGGTCTCTTAAATTGAATTAAAACTAAATGCCAAATTTAGCTCCTCGGTATCACAATTCACATTTCAAGAGTTCACGGAGCTACCAGTTACTGAATTGCATAGCACAGGTACCAAACACAGCATTAGAAAGTTCCAGAGCTTAGCGTTAGCACTTTTGTATACACGGTACACACAGTGAGACCCAGCAGAGGTGTCTACTACAAGATTGATGTCCACAATCAATTGGATAATTGAATGGTCTGTTTGGGGGAAAAAACTGGGGTTTGAGGAATGTTGGCTACTTCAAGGAGTGGAAAATTGAAGAATTATAGCTCAGTGGCAGAGCTCATTCCTGGCACATGTGAAGCCCTGGGGTCAACCTCCAGCACCACATGCGCAGACACACACACACACACACACACACACACACACACACACACAGAGGCATGGGTGGGGGGGTTGAATCTTTCCAACATTCTGTCTTTTTGGAGACTCCTGGTCCTCTGACTCCTCTCCCTGTCATTTTGCTCACTTTCTTCATCATCAAAGTCCACTCTAAGACCTTATTGGCAGTATGTTGACACCACTGCACCCCTCACCTGCACTCCTCGCCCTCCAGCAGCTTCCTGTAGGTGGCAATCTCCACGTCCAGGGCCAGCTTCACGTTCATCAGCTCCTGGTAGTCGCGCAGCAGCCGGGCCAGGTCGTCCTTGGCCTGCTGCAGGGCGGCCTGTAAGCCTTGGAGCTTGGCGTCGGCATCCTTGAGGGCCAGCTCCCCGCGCTGCTCTGCGTCTGCAATGGCGGCCTGCAGGCTGGCGTTCTGGGGGAGGGAGCAGTCGAGACCAGTTAGCATAGTGACTGAGAGACAAACAGCTGACTAAGCCAAGCAGGTATCTTCCAGGACCCTGTCTCCCCTTTGTTTAGCTATCTCAATAGAACATTCTCAGAAAACAAGTCCGTTTTACAAGTGGTTTTAGTTCATCTCTGGCCCATGAAGTTAACTCATCTCAACTCACTCAACAAGAACAATGAGTTGCTTTCCTACTATGGGAAAGGTAACAGTGGCCTCTGCTCTTTTCTGCAACACTGGCCTCTGCAACAGTGGCCTCTGCTCTTTTCTGCAAAACTCTCTTGTATGATCATTTCAGTGATATAAATCAGTTATCAATGTCATGTGAAATAACCTAATAAGAACCTGTCATCACTGAGGACAGATCCTGTGGAGAGTTTAATGTTTAAAATCAGCCTGACAGTTGCAAGATCTCCAGAGAAAACCAGAAGGTTCACTACTTAGGGAACTTTCCAAGAAGCCCAACCTTGACCAGAGAGTTAGTACAGTGGGTAGGGCACTTGCCTGGCACACAGTTGACCCAGATTTGATCCCCAGCACTCCATATAGTCCCCTGAGGCTGCTAGAAGTGATCCCTGAACACAGAATCAGGAGTAAACATTGATGTGATGAAGAAGGAGGAGGAAGAGAAGGAGAAGCCCAACTTCAAGGAGGAACATCTGCGAGCGTTTTCCAGAGCCAGAGCTATCCCACATGTGACACCACTAAAGGACAGAGACTCTGAGGTCAAGGCTTAGGTTCTGCTTCTCCTTGTGTCCAGGGCCCAGGATACCTCAAGGACCACTCCATATGTTTCAGACCCACCTGCTTCTTGACATTCTCGATCTCAGCCCGCAGCCTCTGGATCATCCTGTTGAGCTCCATGATCTCACTCTTGGTGCTCTTCAGGTCATCCCCATGTCTGCCCGCCGTGGACTGCAGCTCTCCCAACTGGAGGGACAGATGGGATGGTGGCATGCTGGTACAGCGTGGCCCTAACATCACCCACCCCGTCTTGAAGAGTAAGTTGAATTTCAGTCAGACTCCTTCAAGGCAGCAAGGAAGGGAACATGGAGCTGCCATGGTGTGGGGGTCTCCTGCTTTCGCCTGAGCCAGCTAGTCAGCGTTGCGTGGCCTTGCATGGCCCTGGTGTGGCCCTGCGTGGTCTAGCAGTATTTGGTAGAACTGTGTCCACTGGTTGGGGGTCAGGGGTGTACAGTGCCATGGATTCAAAGAGCACCGTGTCTCTCCCGTGGCCCCCCATGACTATCACACCCTAAAGCCTCCCTGACACCCTCCGTGGATGGATAAGAAACTCCGAGCACCCACCTTGGTCTGGTACAGTGCCTCGGCCTCGGCCTTGCTCCTCTGGGCTATCTCCTCATACTGGGCGCGCACTTCGGCGATGATGCTGTCCAGGTCCAGGCAGCGGTTGTTGTCCATGGACAGGACCACGGACGTGTCGCTGACATGGCTCTGCATCTGGGACAGCTCCTGTGGGGAACATGACAATCATTCACACCATCGCCTAGCATAGGGAACGCTAGGAATGGTAACATTCAAGTATCTTCTACTAGCAGAGGTGTCCCCAATGATGGGAGCAGGTGTGGGACAGAAAAATAACCTTTCACTTGAGGCACAGCAAATACAAAGGGTTGCCAGGCAGAAAGTTTTCAAGAAAAAAGTAAATGCACCAGTATCATCAGGGATCAGCCTGGAGGTGTCGGCCAGAGGGCCTAAAACAGTGAGTTCCCATGGACAGGCAGTAGAAAGAAGATGATGGAAGTGGCTGACATCCTGGAAAAGGAGGCAGAGGGAGGATGGAGAGCAAAACAGGTTAAGGACAAAGAGGAAAAGAACAGAGATGGGCCAACTGGCCGGATCTTTGCAGGCTGGGGCAGTTCCATTAGTATTTCTTGGCAAGGCTGGACCTTAAGGCTATGCTCTAGGCGGGTTTTGTGAGTGTCCTGCCACATGATTGTCCCCAACAGTTCGACCTGGGGTGCAGGCTTCGGGAGAGGCAGATAGCAAGGCTCTGAGCTTGCCTAAGTGAGGACTCACCATCTCATAGAGGGTCCTCAGGAAGTTGAGCTCATCCGTCAGGCCGTCCACCCTGGCCTGCAGCTCCACCTTGTTCATGTAGGCCGAGTCCACATCCTGGGGGGTTGGGATGGGGTCAGACACACAAAGAATGGCCTTCCTGCCCCCCCTCCAAATAACTCCTTCCTAATTCCTCATCTTTCCTCCACCACTTCTTCGGTTTGACTTCCCATCTCCCTTTTAAAAGAAAGAAAATTGGGTCTAGCGCAATAGTATTTATGCTCCCTGGAGCCTGCCAGGAGTGATTCCTGAGCACAGAACCAGGAGTAAGCCCTGAACATCGCTGGGTGTGGCAAAAAAAATAGCCCCCACCCCCCAAAATATGGAAAGGCTTTTTACCCCCTTTTAATTGCTTGGATACACTATCTTAACAAAATATAAACCGTTAACAAATAGACTAAGGATAGAAAAATAATCACATTTATATGTAACCTGGGTTACAAGGCATCCAGCCTCTTGTTTAGAGAAAATAGAATTCTCACCACTTCACATTTTTGATGACTAATTTAAACAAACCAGAAGTATTTGCTGATTATTAATAACATCCAGGCTACATGGATAAACTGAAAATCTCGATAATGACACACATAAAGCATTCGTTATTCCTGCATTATTACTAATCAGCTCATTACTCATCACTTCCTTCATCGAATACCTCAATTGCCAACCGGTCAGAAGATGGAGGCTGAGCTCACGAGGCCCCCACCTGGCTCTACGCGCTCGCTTCCCTTACCTTCTTAAGTCCCACAAACTCGTTCTCTGCAGCAGTTCGTTTGTTGATCTCGTCTTCATACCTGGGGCAGAAGGAGACACATTTGCATGGTGACATTTCAGAAGTGGGGAATAAAATGACTGAGGTCCCCAATGTCTCCGTGTTGGGAGGCTGATCCAGCTTCACAAGTGTACCCAAAGCACTATGGGCACTGGTGAAAAACTCAGAGAGGGGAATGATCCCCAAAATCTCTGTTTCCTCTACCCCTCCTTGCATTCAAATTGTTTCTTAGCAGAATTTGAGTGAAGAATAAACCCATTGTCTTTCTTCTTTTTGTGATTGTGCTGGTTTGGGGCCACACCTGGCGGTGCTCTGGGCTTACTCCTGACTCAGTGCTTAGGGATCGCTCCTGGAGGGCTTGGGGGACCCTATAGGGTGCTAAGGATAGAGTCCAGTTTGGCTGTAGGCAAGGCAAATGCTCTAACTGCTGTACTCTCTCTCTCCCACCCACCATTATCTTCTAAATGCATCAAGCTGATGGAATTTCAGCCTTCTCCTAGCTAAGATTATCTTTGAGAGAATTTGGATTTTATGAAGACTGGGAAATGGAAAAGTCTGCAGAATGGTGCTCTGTGATGAGGTTCTGATCTTCCCCTGCGTTCTTGAGGCCTGGCCCGTGGCCCAACCTAGGATAAGCAAGTGCCCGCAGTGCCCGGCAGGCTTGCACCAACAAATTGGAATGATGCCTCCCAAGTACAGGGGCCCCGTGCTTGGGGTCCTGACCTGGAGCCACAGCGTGGGAGGCCCTGTTCTCACCCACAGGCCTCGGAAGGTATCGAATACCACCCAATATATTCAGAAGGTACCAAATACTGGAAGAGCTGGGCTTGGGCGGAAGACCCAGAAATTGGCTCGCACTGATGCATAGAGAACAACGCACCGTTGAAGCCTGACCATCTGCCTGGGATCCCTGGCAGCAGCAGAGCACAGACTTGGGAGCCTGTCCCCTATCTGTTGATTCAGAGTACCTAGGACTGCAGCCCAGGATGTGCATTCTTGACACACTTCCAGGGTGAAAGCATGGAAGACCTGTGATCCTTTAGACTCCAGAAGGATGCTCCTATCTGTTCCTTGGAAGTGGTATTGAAGGGACCCACCTGGAGCTTTCAAGATACATGTTCAGAAGCCCCCTGCAGTCTCTGCTGCACCCTGCTTGGCTCTGTCATGCCCTTCAGAAGTGCTGACCCAAGGCACAGTGGGAAACAGTGGCAATCCCAAATAGGAGCCAGACCTCCCTGCTACCACCCAAGATGGGGGGCTTCCCCTCAGGGCCCTCACTTCTTTTTGAAATCTTCCACCATGTCCTGCATGTTCTTCAGCTCGGATTCCAGGTTGCCCCTCTCTCCCACAGCCAGGTCGAGCTGTCTGCGCAGGAAGCTGATGTAGGACTCGAAGAAGGGCTCCAGGTTGTTGGTGCCGGTGCCAGAGCTGGTCCCCTGCTGCTGGAGCAGCTCCCACTTGGTCTCCAGGACCTTGTTCTGCTGCTCCAGGAAGCGCACCTGGACAGGGGGAGAAGGTGGTCAGCCTGCAGGACCAGGCTGCAAGGCCACCTCTACCAAAGCAGGTGCAACATGTATGGATAGAAACGCACTTCATCCTTCTGCCTTGGTCACCACCCTGTTCGGGAGCATTGGGGATGCTTCAGAAAGGGAGAGCTAAAGAATCCATGGGGTGTCTCTCTACATGCTGGTTTCCCATATTCTATTTCACTTCCTCCTCACAAACACCCTGTGACAAAGAATAACATTTTTTAAAAAAATGATATTTGTCCTCTCATTATTTGTCTTTATTATTATTTGTCCTTATTGTTTGCCCTCTTTTTGTCAATAAGGAAGGCCAAGCTCATAGAACTTGATTCAGTTGCCCAAAGTGAGCTGGGTCCCACAAAGCTGTGTCAAGGCCCCTACAACTCTCGGGACACAGAGAGCTGAGAAGGGTTGCCCAAGAGAGTCAATGATGGAAGCTCTGAATTAAAAACGTTCCTGCTACCAGACAGGCAGTGAAAACAGTCAAGGTCCAATTTGTCCTGAGCTGTTTCTGCTCAGTACTCAGCTTATAGCTAGTCTAGGTTTGAATCCTAGACTCCCCCTCAACACTGCACCTCCGCTCAGATCCTGTTTCACCTCAAGTGCCACATCCCCAGCTCCAGGTCCCCTCACTGAGAATCAGCCCCACACGAACACCCCAATGGGGTGCCCCGAGATTCACTATTCCAGTGCTTGGTTTAGATGAGCAAAGTAGTTACTTTTGAAGAGTACTTGAAAGTCAACTGTGCAATATCGCGGCTAACACTTCTTTCTGAAAATGGGCTTGGGGTATTCTGGTTCCCCTCATCTTATGACTCTGATCCTATCCCTAGAAAGGAGTCAGGAACTGAACACCTTCACCTCATTTTATAGCTAAGAGAACAGGATGCAAAGAGCAAGTATATGATCAAACTAGGGGCTTAGAAAGAACGAGTTCAAGAGACCAGCACCTCTGTCTTGAAACTTGGGCTAGTCACTGGCACCCACCTATGCCCCAGGCAGCCCACCAGCCATCACACAGCTGGGCTTGACCCTCACCTTGTCGATGAAGGAGGCGAACTTATTGTTGAGGGTCTTGATCTGCTCTCGCTCCTGCGTCTTGACTTGTCCAATCTGGGGGTCGATCTCCACATTGAGGGGTTGCAGGAGGCTCTGGTTGACAGTCACTTCCTGGATTCCCCCAGGGAAGCCACCAGGACCAAAACCACCAGGCCCACCAAAACCAACAGGCCCACCAAAACCACCAGCTCCTCCAAAGCCACCAGCACCTCCAAAACCGCCAGCACCTCCAAAACCACCAGCACCTCCAAAGCCACCAGCTCCCCCAAAGCCACCAGCACCCCCAAAGCCCCCTCCCATTCCTCTGCCACCACCAAAGCCTCCTCCAAAGCCCCCACCAAAACCACTGCCACAGCTGCCTCGGCCTCCCCCAAAGCCGCCGGCCCTGGAGCCCCCAGCCACACTCATGGAGATGCTCTTGGTGCCACCCAGGTTGTAGAGGCTGTGACTGCCAAAGCCGCCGGCACCACCAGATGCTCTAGAGCGGGCCACGCAGCTCATCCTGCTGCTGCCACCAGAGACCACAGCCGAGCGGCCGGAGAAGCCCTGGCTGCCGCCACTGAAGGATTTCTTGCAGACTTGTCTGTTCATGGTGAGAGGCTTGGAGGTGAGCTAGCAGGCACTAGCAAGAGCTGAGAAGGGATGAAGACTGGATGGGGACACTGGAGGAGACCGGCCCTTATATACCACAAAGCTTGGCTTGGCAGAAGGAGAGGCGGGCAATTAGCTGAGAGTCATCTTGGGTTTGGTTTGCCTCCCAGGCAATAAGTTGCTTGGAGGTTCCCAACACACCTCAAAGATAATCCTCTGGACCCAAATGACTTTGCTTTCTTAGCTTAATCACCCAAACTTGCCTCGGTTGACAAAAGAGTGGCGCTCTCCTCCCTCCAGGTGATTTCCTCAAGGGTCTCAAGGAACCCAAACGTCACCTGACCCAGCGGGCTGAATTGGATTTTGACACCAGGGGATTAGGAGCCACTGAGCAGCAGGGGTGAGGACCCAGCAATGTCTTCCACCTGAGCTGGGCCCTCCCTGCAGGGCCCAAGTACCGTGGCCCAGTGGCATGACACCCTCACCCACCTTCTCAGAGAAACATCTAAAGGGAAACAGAGGGCAGGTAGAGAGGTGCAGTGGCCCCTCGAGGTCTGCTCTGGCCCATCTCAGCCTGTTCATGGAGCGGGATCTTTTGTGGAAAGGATGGGAAAAGGAGTGGGAGAAAGAGGGAGGATGTGAGGCATGGAAAGAAGGGGATGTAAGGGGGAAGGTGTTCAGACTAAGCCCATCTGGTTATTATTTCTACATCCAAAGCTGGAGGGGACAGATGGGAACCCTCCAGTTGGCCCATGGATTCAGCTCCAAGGCCCCCTTCATCTTACTCTGTGTGCTGTGTCAGAGCTGGTGGCCTCTGCACCTCAGCCCTTCCAGCACCTGATCTGGCTCCATCACCCCACCTAAGTTCTTGACCTGGTCCTGAGCTCACCCAGGAAGCGACTGAGTCCTCCTAGCCTTGAAGAGCCAGCTGCTCATGTGGGATGAATACACAGAACTGATGGTCCAAGTCTCAGAACGGAAATACCTATACCAGAGTCCCATCCCAGTCTTTCAGGAAGTCTTCCTCATCGGGGGAAAGACGTGGGTGTCTATAGTACTCACAAGCCCTCCAGGGGATCCTAATGACTGTGAAAGTTTGGGAGACCTTAGCTTAGACCAATGTTTCTTTTCTTTGGTTTTGTTTGGGGGCCATATTTAGTAGTTCTCTCTCTACTCAGGGATTGCTCCTGGTGGTGCTTGGAGGAACCATTTGGAATGCCTGAGTTGACCACACATGAGGCAAATGCCCTGCCCACTGTACTATTGCTCCAACTCCTAGACCAGTGTTCCTCAGCCATTTTTCCCTTGGCCCCCTCCCAATCGCAATCGTGTTTCCTTCCTGATTCCCCCACTTGTCCTACTTGGTTGACTCTCTAGGCTGGTGCGGTGCCTTTCCCTCCGACCTCCCCCACCCACACTCCTCTTAGGCTATTTTCACCTGTGGCTTCTTGGTATATCCTGAAGGCCCACAGGAGGCCCTATGCTGCCTGGTTGAGAAACGCTGGCCTAGACTAGGCTGCTCCAATTGGAACTAGGATTGAAAGCTGGAGGAGCCTGGTTAGTGGAGTGGACACACAGCACCACTGCCCCAACCTCTGACAAAACAACTGTGCCCTGTCCCATGACAGTCCACCTTTACCCAACTCCCACCCTTGGCAAGATAAACACCTGGATGCTGATCTCCCTCAGAAACTTCACTAGGCAGGAACAAGAGGGGGTGAATCAAAACAGGTGGTTGGTCTATCCCCACAATGTCAGCCCCCGTAACAGTGATGGGACAATATGGGACCCACTGTTGGTCTGAAAGTCCCAAAAAAATGTCCTAGGAAGTGAATCTCGGGACTCTAGTTCTCCTAGAGCTGATCCCTGATTCCCCACTCACTAGGCCCTTTGAGTTTGAACAAGTTACTGGACTCTATGTGTCTTGGTTTCCTCAATTGTTAAATGAGGTTGATACAAGACGATACTCTGTTGGGTGGTTGTCCTCATTGAAGAGATTCAATAAACATAAAGGGCCTGTTTGAAGCTGAATAGATCCTGCACTGCCCTATACATAGGAAGCATTGCTGGTGCTCTGCTGGGGGCGTGGAGGAAGGACATCCCAATGCCTGACCTTGGGTAGTCTCAAGACTATTTTGTGTTCCTGTGAACCTCACCAAAGGATACAGAGAAATGAAGCTGAATGTGAACAAATGAGAAGCAAGCCAGGGTGGTGGAGAGAAGAAATGCCTATGCCTGGAGGAGTTTCATTGTGTGGCCTGATTTTTAGCATTCTGCTTTTTTTTCTCTCCTACTGGTCTTTGGATTCATTTGTTGGTTTTCCATACATTTAAGGTGTGTCTTTCTGTTACTGATTTTATCTTTTTCTTCTTTCCTCGTGTGGGCCTGTACTGCTATGAGTTTCCCCCTAAGTGCTGCTTTTGCTGTGTCCATAGATTTTGGTAACTTGTTTTTTCACTATTATTAGTCCAAGGAATCTTATTTCTTCCTTGATTTCTTTGATCCAGCTGTTATGTAGCAGCGTGTTTTTCATTCTCCTGGTGTTACAGTTACTCCCCATATTTTTATGATTAATTTTTAAATCTATGGTATTGTGGTCTGATAGGATGCTTGATGCGATTCTTATATTTGTGAATTTATGTAAGTTAGATTTACATCCTAAAATGTGATCTGTTCTGGAGAATGTTCCGTGTGCACTAGAGAAGATGTATGTCCAGCTCTCTGAGGATAGAAGGCCCTGAACAAACCCATTAATCCCATTAGTCCCAGCTCTCCTCATTTCTGGTGTTCTGATCTGTCCAGTCTTTCCCTACTTTAATGGTTCATCATGCGCTTCCTGAGATGCAGTGAAAGACCTTGTAAAATCACCCAATACCACATGGAAGCCTGATAAATGTAACCCTACAAAAAGCCTATCAGGTTGGGAGCTCCAAAGACCTGGTTCAAGCCCCTTGTTTATCACTCACTCTGCGGTCACCTTCGACAAGGAACTTGGCTTCTCTGAGCCTCTCTCGTGGCATTTGGAAAATGAGACTTCTAGCCTAGTTGAAAGATGATCTTGAAATTTAAATAGATAGTGTCTGCTTTTCAATCCGCCTGATCCCTCCACCGACAAGCCTCACAGGACCTTCTGCATTGGGTTCTTCCAAGAGACATTTACTCCACCCTTGGATTGGATGCCAGTTGGTGAGGTCTTATTCACACATTCTTTGCAATTCCATCAAAAGCCAAAGATCAAATGCTTTTCCCAGGAAGAAAGCTGAGCCAGGCTCACCTGTATCCCCATGTGAGAACCCAAAGCAAACAAGTTCTGTGCCTGACTCCCCTCCCCTCCCTTGAATCCACTGCAGTATCTGCCACCCTGGCACATACTGGAGAAGAGTGATGGAAGCAGGGGATGGGCAGATCACCAAGGCACGGGCTGGGCTGGGTTTTCCTAATCCACATCTCCCAAGCTTGCCAAAGGATCGCCTGATTTAGCAGGTTGGGGTTGTTTTCTCAACAGTTGGTGGAAGCCGCTGACAGTATCCAGAGTTATCATCCTAGGCAATAGTTCTCTTATTCATGGCAGGATCTCTTGGAGAAGTGGCACCTAAATGAGTTGTCTATTGTCAGCAGTCTGAGCTCTAATCCCTTGTCTGTCAGATCTTTCTGTGGAAAGGTTGTCATGTGACTGAGAATTCTGGCTCCACATGTTCTTGCCTAGAGTATCTGGGGAATTATTACCAAGCAGAGTATTACCTTAAGCCAAGGTGTTCTCTGGTGCTTAGTTTCAGTGAGAATGATAAAAATGATAAAGCTTGGCCTAGAAAATGAATGGGACAGGGGTTGAAGGCACACAACAGTTGTCATTGTCATTATCTATATGTTAAACTGGGCAGACAAGGGACTAGAGCTATCACTACCCAGTGGGGGCTGGGGGGTGCTTACCTTACACACACCCAGCCCAGGTTTGATCCCCAGCAACTCATATGGTCCCTTGAGCACCGCCAGAAGTAATTCCTGAGTGTAGAGCCAGGAATAATCCTTAGCATCACCAGTAGAGGCAAACATTCCAACTGTATCTCTTGTATCTTAATCTACCTCTCTCTTTCAATAAACTTGTTTGATTTACACACACACACACACACACACACACACACACACACACACTAAAAAAAAAAAAACCCTGGCATTCAAATTTCTTCACCTAGGAGCAGGGTGGGGTAAGATAGTCAAGAGTGGGGGTATCACATGACCCTCCATTAACTCAAATTCACTGATCCAATATTTAAGAAAGTCATTTCATTTTATAAAATTGAACATTCATTTTTGCTACACTTCCCCCAAACTTTCCACGGGATGTCAAGAGACCGCGTGGCCGCCCACCTACCAGATGGTCAGACTTCTTTGTCAAGATCATGAACGATCGGTTTGAGGCCCTCCATGTTCCCGGAGCGAAGAGATGCCATTGGGCTACACTAGCACGCGACAGGGACAAATGGAGACGTTACTGGCGCCCGCTCGAGCAAATCGACGACTAACGGGAAGTTAAGTGATTAAGTGATTAAGTGTTCCCCCAAACTAAAAATTATCATTGTAGGGTTGAAGTGATAGCAGGTATGGCACTTGCCTTGCATTCTTGCACACAGCTGACCCAACTTGATCCCTAGCATTCCAGATGGTTCCCCAGAGTCCAACCAGGAGTGATCCCTGAGCACAGAGCCAGAAGTAATCTCTGAGCACCACCAGGTGTGTCCTCGCCGCCCGCCCCACCCCCACCCCAAGAAAATAAAAATTTCAGGACAGTGCATGTCTTTTTTACTAAGACAGCTGTTGGGATCACCATTCATTCTAATTTAGTTCTTCTTTCTAGACTTCACTCTTCAACTTACCCCGAAATCCTTTCCTGTATCTAGATACTCTTCTAGGATTTATCTGGGGCAGAATTCTGTTCCCTAAGATAGTCAAGATAGAAAAAATATTCTGTGGTCAAATCAACTGGGGAAGTGAAAATTCAA